CTCCTCGGTGCCTCGATGCTGATGGCCTTTGCTCTGCAGAGTGCGCGGCCCTGCCCTTCCTCATCCTCCCACTCTCTGGTCCACCTTCTTCCTGTTGCCCCTTCTCCTCCTCATCCTCTTCTCTTTCCTGTTTTGCGCCCCAAGTACTCTCTTGCTCCATCCCTCTAACTTCCCCTCACCATCGCCCCTCCCCCTCCCAGATCCTCCTCCTCCTCCTCCTCAGCCTCCTCCTCCTTCGCCCCCTCGTTGCACTCATCTCGGCGGAGCGTGACGGAGCAACGACAACAAAAGACGCCCCGCGAACCCATCCCCTCTCGGACAGGAAGCTCCGTCAGTGCCGCGAGTGCCAAGCCGCAAGGGCTCAACCTCGACCCACGGTCCACCGGCCGAGGTCGACCAGCCTCGGTTATCAGCTCTACGCGTGGCGGCCGACCTACCACGACGGGGCGCAAGAGGAGAACGATGGAGAGGAGGCGACCCGCTCCAGGTTGCTGTAATTGCCCGTGTGGCCGAGCCGGTCGGATGTTGCGCACGCGCCTGCACACATTGGCCCGCGCAGTCGGACCGATCGGGCCATGCAACGCCCTGCCCTTGCGGCCGACAGTTCACTGCACCGGCCTTATAGACGTGCTGCAGCGGATTTCTGCATGGAGTTCTGTCAGTGGGAAGCCCCGTAACGGCGAGCGAACAAAAACATGCTTTTTCATTCCTGGCGAAAAAAACCACACGAAATTCACCTCGAAATCCGGAACGAAACTCTCCAGGATAATCGGGGCCCATCATATCGTTTTCCGAACGAAATCCGCTCTGCGATGTTGGCGCCATGAGACAGTGCCAGGGATCCTGCCCAGCAGCTTTCCTCCTGGTCCACTTTTGAGCAGGGACTGACCGTCCCGGCTCCTATAGGCCTACCGCGACATGTTCGCAGAACCCAAACATGTTCTAACAGCAAGAACAGTGTTCGTAGAACAGAACCTCGATGTGTTATACCAAGAGGGTCTCAGCAGGACATTTCCGGAGAACATCTCGCGCAGACCACAACATGTTCTCAGAATATCCCTTGGTGGGCTGACAAGGAAGCCAGGACGCGTCGCCACTGCTTGACACCTCCTCCTATCCTGGGCCTCCGTCCACGGGCGAGGCCCGGGATCGACTCATCCCGAGCCCTGCCGTGCCACGGTGGGCCCGAGTGCTCGACCGCTGCCTCGCGGTGCGCTTCCGCCTGGGCGCGCGGCGGCGCGAGCGGGAAAATCGCGATCGCGGCGCCACCGGGCTCTGCCCGTCTCTCTAGCCTGATGGCGTCCGCACCCGCCGACGCTTTCCGCCCGGCGCCCACCCCCTCCCCTGCCTCCACCTCGCCGTCGTCGCCGTCGTCCTCCTCCTCTTCCTCCTCCTCCTTCGCCCTCGTGTCCTTAGGGTCGAAAGTCTTGGGGATGTTTTCCCAGCAGTCGGCGTACGTGGCGTCGGCGAGCTCCATAGCGGCGGCTGTGGGCACCCAGAGCTGGTTGGACTCCCACATGAAGGCCAATGTGTCTGCGTACCGCTCTGGGGCGTCTTGCCCAGCCTGACCGGCCCGGGTCGCGCCCGCGTCGGGCCCGTGCGGGGTGAAGCGGTTGTGTATGGTGGAGCACCCGGGGCTGAAGCCAGCACCAGGCTTGGCGTCGTACACGCCCCTCACCAGGCCCATGTACTCGCTCATGTAGTTCCTGTGGAACCACGGCGGCCTGAACGTGTTTTCCGCCGCCATCCACCGCGGGGCGAAGATGACGAAATCGATGTTCGCGACTCCGGGCTCTGCTGAAGGAGACGTCACCACCGTGTTGATGGATGGGTCCGGGTGGTCGAAGGAGACGGTGTTGATTGACATGAACAGCGACATGTCGTACTTCAGCGGCACGAGCGAGCCGTACCACGCCACTACGTCGAAGGGAGAGAAGAAGATCTCTCCGCGGAACAGCTGCCCGCCGAACTTGCACACCACCTCGTGCCGGGCCTCGGCGTCCTCGAACGCGGGCTCCGGCGCGAGGAAGTGCCTCGGCTGCGCGAGCCCCGACGACACGCCGATGGGGCCCAGCTCGGGCACGCGGAAGTTGGCGCCGAAGTTCTCCAGCACGTACCCCCGGTGCGGCGCCCCCGCCTCCTCGGCGTCCACCGCGAAGCGCACGCCCCGGGGGAGCAGGCACACCTCGCCCACCCCGACGGAGAGCGGGCCGAACTCCGTGCGCAGCCGCAGCGCGCCCTGCTGGGGGACCAGCATGAGCTCCGCGTCCTGGTGGCAGAAGACCCTGCGGCCCATGCCGCGCCGGAAGGCGTAGACGCCCGCGGTGGCCCCGCTGTTTCCCGCCTTCTGCGGCCAACCATGGGGGCCTCCCATACCACCCTGTTGGCTCTTGCGAGTCGAGGTCCGTCGACGCCGCATCGACGTCGAATCGGCGCGACATCGGCGCTTCCGCATCGAGTGCCAATCGACGCTAGTGCACTCGAAACAAGGTGCGGTGGGGGCATTGGATAAGAAACCCTTAGACATGGAATCCAGGGTCTGGAAGCCCCCCGCGGAACTCCAATCGTGGAGTGGCCACGGGTGTCACCGCCGCCCTCGTTGGATAAGGAATCCTCCAGGGTCTGAAGCCTCCTGGGCACACTCCTTAACCAACGCCCCCACCGTATATGCGAGGCCCCCACGACTTGCTGCCGAGCCCGCCAGGGTCGTCACGGAGTCCAGCCAGTCGCCCTCGCAAACCTCCACGGGCGCCAGCCGCAGGGGGGCCGGCGTCTGCACCTCGAAGGGCGGCGTGGCCCAGCTCCTGGGCCGGGTGGGCGGCTTATAACTCGACGCAGCCACGCTCGCGCCCCCGAGGCCCCACACGAGGGGCCAGAGGGGGGGCGGTGCGGCGTGGACAGGCCCCGCGCGCCCCTGGCGGCCTGAGCTGGAAGCGGCAGCATGGACGAGGCCCCAGTCGCCCAGCCCCTGGGCGCTGGGCGACCTGCCTGTACGCTCGAGATGGACTGCGTGCATTGGGAAGTCGAGCCTGCTTCCAGAACTGAACTGCGTGTGTTGGACAGTTTCTCTTTGGAAGCACAGGTCCGACCTCCCGACACGCGCAGCTCTTTTTTGGGGGAAGCAGGTTCGCCTTCCCAATGCGCGCAGCTCAGCTCGCGCCCCAGAGGCCCCTGGAGGCTCCAAGGGGCCAAGAGGCGGGGGGGCGGGCGTGGAGCGCCCCCGGCGGCCAGAGCTGGAGGCCAGATGGCGCGCCAGTTGCTCAAGACCCTGGCCCGCGCCAGAAGCAAGAGAGCACCGGCACTTGGCTGCCCCGATACGCAACACGCAGCACGTCACGTACTGATGCGGAGCTCAACACGTAGACTGACAACGTGGGTATGAAGCGGCACGTTCGCCAAAACGTGGGCCAAGACGCTGAGCCAACAGGTCACGTATTGACACGGACGTTCTGAGAACGGAACGTGTTGCGCTTCAAAACGTCCGCATTGAGGCAGCTGAGCACTGGCAGCATGGGGGGAAGGAAGAGGGGGGACGTGGAGGAAAAGGGGAGGAAGAGGAGCGGCGGCCAGAGCTGGAGGCAACCACACCGATACATCGTGCGCGGCCCAAGCGACCCCTGCGGTGAGCAGCACCCTCCGCGCCGTCATCCTTGCCTTTCGACCCACCCCCTCGTCGCATACATGCGGCCCTGGGGTGAGGCGAGGGGGACGTCACGGAAGGGGATGGCTCGCCAGGGGTCGGCTGGGCCGCCGCTGGATGAAACCTCGACCTCCGAGCTCCTGTGCCTCAGCGGCTCGAACCGGCGCGGCGTGTGCTGCACGCTGGGCCGGATCCTGTACATCCAGGAGTACTGGTTATGCGCCCGCGGGGCCTGGCGGGGGGGGCAAATCGATTCAGGGCCACGTGATCAAATCGATTCGGGGCCCGAGAAGATTGCAGCCGTGGGCCGAACTATTCTCAACTCTCCATTTTCTCACGCTGGATCTGGTAGGGTCCTGGTCTGCAAATGCCTGACCTCTGAGGCGCTAACAGATACTCGTACCGCTGGTCCCTGGACCTCTCCCGGGATGCGTCCTGACCAGGATGCCGAAGCGAATCCAGCCGTGGCGACGAAGACTAATATTTTTCCCCAGGGTCAGAGGCCAAGTGCTCTGACAGCCCGTAGATACTGAACGCCATGGAGAGCACCGAGTATCGAGGGAAAAGTGTCAGCATGGGTATATGCTTGTCTCGTCGGAGGCCGTGAACGCGTTCCCGGACAGCAGCTCCGTGTGCAGCCCGTACGGCGCCACCCTGGGATTGTTCTGAAGCCTGCGGGAACAGAAAGAGCGGCATGAGCATAAACCTTCGAGGGTCCGCGCGGATCTCTCGGTTCGGCGCTGAGGCCCGCCTCACTGGCGCGCGAGGCGCGCCAGGGGCAGCGCCAGAGGCGGACCTCCGACACAAGATCCCCTGATCGGGGACTCTGATCAACCGGGACAATTGCCACGACCGTGAACACTGCAGCCATGGGTCATGCAGCATCCGCCATCCTTCGCCGAAGCCCTGGTTAGCAGCGTCCTGGCTCAGTAGGAGCCCCGACTCTGAATGTTTACGCGTACGGCGAATTCGTGTCGTGACGACCCTGGCTCTGGTTTTTCCGACACCACGTGGCTCGTTCAACCTTCAGTAATCGGCGGCTTTTCGATCGCCAGATCGTTCCGTATTCACTCGCTCTGGGCCACTCGCGGCGTTCAACCTCGAAAGCCCGCCGCGGGGTCTCCGCCGCGTCGACACGGCACGAACCTGCCATAGGCCGATTGTCACCCCTCGAGCCTGGGCAGCGCGTCGGGGAGGGCCTCGGCGTGGAAGGTGGAGCCGAGCCCCGCGTGGAGGGCGCGCGGCGCCCTCGACCGCACCAGCATGGCCCCCCCAAGTTTAGGGCAACGTCCCGCCCTCCTCGCCGCCCCGATACGCAACACGCAACCCGTAGCGCGGTGGCACGGCACTCAACGCGTAG